GATAGATAGATAGATAGATAGATAGATAGATAGATAGATAGATAGATAGATAGATAGATAGATGTATCTACTTAGATGATAGACAGATAGACAGGCAAACAGACCAGTAGATAAAATTAATCTGCCCATTGAAAAATTGATATATCTAAAGAATCCAGTCCTTACCCCCAAAGTGTAAAAGTTATTTGAGTTTCCATTTGTTACTGACCTCTGGAATGGACATCACTTCTTATCTTTATACACAGGTCCTTAAAAATTTTAGTAATAGACAGGCCCACTGTTTCAGTGTTTGTAAGACTGGGGTTGGTTATTTTTAAGACTTTTATAGCATTCATTTATGTTCACATGTGCAATAGGGATACCTTTGCCACCAGAAATGTGGCGGTCAGGCAGAAAACAGCCAAGGAATCCGGGTCCCTCTTTCCACCATGTGGGTCTTTAGAATCAAACCAGTTGTCAGTGTGAGTGACAAGTCCCTCTCACTGTTCAGGCGCCTTTCTGGCCTGATATATTCAGATTTGATATATTCAGATTTGATATATTCAGATTTGATAGGTTCAAAAAAGAATTTGATATTGTCATGTTTGTAGGTGGTGAAGGAGAATATTCTAGAACTCTATTTACTTGCTGATGTCTTCCTAACTTCTCCACATAACAACATATAGTTATCTCAAGTTCTTAGAAATTAATTTCCTTAGGTCTAAAGACAGGGTATAGACCAGTAAGAAATAATAGTCCTGATTCAAGGTCATGGTGAAGAAAGTGCTGTCCTAATCCCACTCGCAGGGCACTGATGGACGGGCTCTGAGAACCTTGGCTAGACGGACAAATAAATGGAGAAAGACCTACTATTTCCTACCCCAATAGCATAGTTTCTCAAAAAACATCAGGTAAAATTTTAAAAAAAAAAAACTGCTTCAAGAAAATAAATAGAATCTTTTGGAAGAGTCATAAAAGCAGTATAGATCCTCCCACCCCATTTGGGTATCTTTGATAAGGCCTCAGATGTGTAACCCATGGCATTGACTGAACGGGACAAAAACATCCTAAGAGAGCACCCGAAGTCTGTTTGTTTTCTTATATCTGGTAGATACGTGTGACTAAGATATAACTTGTATGATTTTAGATTGTCAAAGTTAATAATGAAAATATTGCATGTTTCTACCCTGTTGGAGACGGCTGGACAAGCCCTGAAAGCACGTGATATACTCACACTTACGTCACGCAGGTAGACGGAACACAGGCAGACTCGTAAACGGCGTCGTTTCTGATGATGTTACTGTTTGAATACAAAATGGTCCCTACAGGCTTGTGGGCTGTTTTGCATGCTTGACTTCCAAGTGATGACGCTATCTGAGGACATGAAGCCTCGCTGGAGAAAGCAGGCCACTTGGGTTGTCTCTACCCCAAGTCCCTTCTTCCCATCTATCCTGGAATGAAAAGCCTCCCCTTCACATGCTCTGGCTGCCATGGTATTCTTCTGTCTTAGCACTGTCCAGAATCAGGATAGCCAAGGACTAGGGACTGACAACTCTGAAACCACGAGTGAGATAAACCTTTCCTTTTTTAGTGTTCTTCCGGGTATTTTCATCAGAGGTGAGCAACAGTGAATGAGATGGAGAGTTAGCTTTCAACTTGACAGAACCTAGACTCACCTCCCCGCACAGACCCAGCATGCCTGTAGGGAGCTATCAGAAGACCTGTCCATTGCAGGCAGTCCATTCCCTATGTGGGCTGCTGAGCTGTGTAAGTCAGGAAACGGAGCTGGACGTCAGCATGCAGTCTTCCTTTGTGCTCTGCTTCCTGACTCTGAATGCAGGGAGGGACTGCCTCGAGCCCTCGCTGCCTTGGCTTCTCCACCAAGATGGGCTATGCTGTCAGTTGTGAGCTAAAATGAGCCCTTTCTCTTTTGAATTGCTTCAGTCAGAGTATCTTATCACAGCAACCACAAAGGAGCAAAGACCCTAAGTCTTACTGTTGAGGCAACATGTAGTCACAAACCTAAGCCACCCAAACTAACAGTAGGAAAACATTGCTCCCAGACACAGGAAGTTTCAGACCTTGCTTGGGGTCTCTGTGTGTCAGACACTTTTTATACACTACCTAAAGTTATTAAACATTTACCCCAATGGACCCAGATGTTATAAATAGTCAAAAATCAAAATGACACATTTCCTGATGTGCAAAAAAAATCTTCTAGTGAGTTCTCAAATAACATCATAAATTGATCATTTTGATCCAACTTCTAAACTGTCCAGTGGGGTCATGCATGAGGAAGCTTAGATATAACCTTGAAGTTGTCCTCCATGGACAGCAAGGAAGAGCTAGTGGTCAAGACTCCACATCGGCATTGACCTGCTCTGTTCTTCAGGCATCCTCAGAGTTTGGAGAGGGGTATTATGATTTGGAAATGGAGTTGGGCTCTGATCCATCCTGCTTGTGATGAATCTGAGCTCTGCCTCCTGATAACTGTGTGACCTCAGT